CCCCCCTGCAGGAGGTGTTGGGGGGGGGGGTGGGGCCCGGGGGGGGGGGGGAACCCTCCAGTTGGCGGAGGAACCCCTGGGCTGCCGGTCCTCCCTGCAGAGGACCCTCCAGTTGGCGGAGGACCCCCCCTGGGCTTGTCGTCAGTCCCATGCCGAGGACCTCCAGTTTGGCGAGGAACCACACCTGGGCTGCGGCCCCTGAGGACCTCCAGTTGGCGGAGGACCCCCCTGGCTTCGCGGTCCCTGCAGGAACTCCAGTGGGCGGAGGAAACCCCCCTGGGGCTGCGTCCACCTGAGGACCTCCAGTTGGAGGAGGAAACCCTGGGCTTGCGCCCCTGCAGGGACCTCCCAGTTGGGCGGAGGACCCTGGGCAGTGCGGCTCCTGGAGGACCTCCAGTTGGCGGAGGACCCCCTGGCTTGCGTCCCCTGCGACCTTCAGTGGCGGAGGAAAACCCTGGCTGGCGTCCCCTGCAGGACCTCCAGTTTTGACGGAGGACCCCCCGGGCCTGCGGCCCCCTGCAGGCCCTCCAGTTGGCGGAGGCCCTGGGCCTGGCGTCCCCTGCGAGGACCTCCATTGGCCGGAGGAAGAGGAACCCTGGCTGCGTCCCCTGCAGGACCTCTAGTTGGCGGAGGAACCCCTGCTGCGTCCCCCTGCAGGACCTCCAGCTGGCAGAGGAACCCTGGCCCTGCGGCCCCCCTGCAGGACCTCCAGCGGCGGAGGAAAACCCTGGGTTCGGTCCCTTCAAGGACCTCCAGCTGGCGGAGGACCCTGGGCTGCATCCCCCTGCAGGGACCTCCAGTTGCGGGGGGACCCCTGGGGGCTCGTCCCCTGCAGGACTCCATTGTGGACGGAGGAACCCTGGGCTGCGGCCCTGGGAGGGACCTGGGCTTGCGGCCACCCCTGGAGGACCTGGGCTTGCGGCCCCTTGCAGGACCCCTGGGCTGCGGCCTCGCCTGCAGGAAAAACCCCCTGGGCTGCGGCCCCCTGGGAGGACCCTGGGACCTGGCGGCCCGCCTGGAGGGACCCTGGGCTGCCGTCCCCCTGCAGGAATCCAGTTGGGCGGGAGGAACCCTGGGCTGCGGTGTCGGCCCCTGCAGAACCTCCAGTTGGCGGAGACCCTGGGCTGCGGTCCCCCTGCAGGACCTCTAGTTGGGCGGAGGACCCTGGGCTGCGGCCGACTGCAGGACCCCCAGTTGACGGAGGACCCTGGCTGGCGGCCCCCTGCAGGACATCCAGTTGGCAAGGCCCCCCCTGGCTGCGTCCCCCTGCAGGAACCTCCAGTTGCGGAGGTCCCTGGGGCTGCGTCCCCTGCAGACCTCCAGTTTTGGCGGAAGGCCCCCCCTGGGCTGCGTCCCATGCAGGACCTTCCAGTTGGCCGGAGGACCCTGGGCTGCGGGCCCCCTGCAGGACCTCCAGTTGGCGGAGGACAACCCCTGGGCTGCGGTCCCCTGCAGGACCCCTCCCAGTTTTGGCGGAGGACCCTGGGCTGCGGTCCCTGCAGGACCTCCAGTTGGCGGAGGACCCCCTGGTCTGCGGCCCCCTGCAGGACCCCTCCAAGTTGGCGAGGACCCTGGGCTGCGGCCCCTGGATGGACCTCCAGTTGTGGCGGAGGAACCCTGGGGCCTGCTCCCCTGCAGGAACCTTCAGTTGGCGGAGGACCCTGGGGGCTGCCGTCCCCTGGAGGGACCTCTCAGTTGGGAACGGAGGGGACCCCCCCCGGGCTGGTGCGGCCCCCCTGCAGGACCTCCAGTTGGCGAGGACCCCTGGGCTGTGCGTCCCCTGCAGGAAGAACCCTCCAGTTGGCGGAGGACCCTGGCTGCGGTCCCCTGCAGGAACCTCTTAGTTGGCGGAGGACCCCCCCGGGCTGCGTCCCCTGCAGGACATCCAGCTGGCAGAGGAACCCCTGGGCTGCCCGGCCCCCTGACAGGGACCTCCAGCTGGCGGAGGACCCCAGGGTTGCGTCTCCCCTGCAGGACCTCAGCTGGCGGAGGAAAAACCCCTGGGCAGCATCTCCCCTTCAGACCTCCAGTTGGCGGAGGACCCTGGGCTGCGTCCCTGCAGGACCTCCAGTTAGAGGAACCCTGGGCTGCGGCCCTGGAGGAACCCAGGGCCTGCGGCCCCCTGAGGGACCACCTGGGCTGCGCCCCTGCAGGACCCTGGGCTGCGGCCCCTGCCCAAAAGGGGGGACCCCTGGGCCTGCGCCCCTGGAAGGACCCTGGGCTGCGGCCCTGGAGGGACCCTGGGCTGCGTTCCTTCCCCTGGCGGAACTTCCAGTTGGCGGAGGACCTCCTGGGCTGCGGCCCCTGCAAAGAACCTCCAGTTTGCGGAGGGACCCTGGCCTGCGGTCCCCTGCAGGACCTCTAGTTTGGCGGAGGACCCTGGGCTGCGGCCCCTGCAGGACCTCCAGTTGACGGAGGCCCCCCTGGGCTGCGCCCCTGCAGGACCTCCCGTTGGGGGCGAGGCCCCCTGGGCTGCGTCCCCTGCAGGACCTCCAGTTGGCGGAGGACCCCCTGGGCATGCGTCCCTGCAGGACCTCCAGTTGGGCGGAGGACCCTGGGCTGCCGGCCCCCTGCACAGGATCTCCAGTGGCGGGAGGACCCCCTGCCTGCGTCTGTTCCCTGACAGGACCTCCTGTTGGCGGAGGACCCTGGGCTGCCGTCCCCCTGCAGGACCCTCCATTGGGCGAGAACCCTGGGCTTCGTTCCCATGCAGGACCCTCCAGTTGGGGCGGAGGACCCCTGGCTTCGGTGCCACTGCCAGTGTGGCACTCTGGAGCACCTCTGAGGCACTGGCTTGGCACTCTCCTGCCTCCGAGACTCACTCGTCGATACATTGACCAACCGCGGGCCATTTGTTCCGTTAGTGTTGCCGTCTCTTGCGTCTCCATATTTTTATTGTGTTTGGTTTGTGCTGTGGGTGGAGACTTTTACATTATTTATGATGGAGTTTTTTGTTAAGACATAAAAAATGCGAGGAATTAAATTAAAATTACTGGGCTAGGATCGAACATGAAAGCTAGGGCTGGGGGTGGAAAGGCCTAGGATAGGATAGTGCTGTGATAAAGGGTTGTGGGTAGAGAGGGAGAGAGGTAAGAAGTTAAGTGGTCTGAACCACTTTGAGTGGGTTTTCAGAGTGGTTTTTGTCACATAGTGACGAATTTTATGTATGTTAGTGATGGGGTATACACTGTGTGTGCTCACCTATATGTGGCTGCAGGGGTCGATTCATAGCTCCTGGCCCTGCCTCTTCACTGGTCGATACTAGGTCACTCTTTCTTCGCTCTTAGAGCCTTATCATACTTCTTCTTAAAGTTGTGTATGGAACTTGCCTCCACTACTTCACTCTCCAGATTATTCCACTTCCTGACAACTCTAAGGCTATAGAAATACTTCCTTACATCCCTATGGCTCATCTGGGTTTTCAGTTTCCAATTGTGGTCCCTTGTTGCTGTGTCTCATCTCTGAAACATTCGAGCCCCGTCCACCTTATCAATTCTCAGTATTTTATACGTCGTTGTCATGTTCCCCCTATCTCTCCTATCCTCTAATGTCCTCAGGTTGAGTTCCCTTAACCTCTCCTCGTAAAACAGTAACATACCCCTTAGTTCCGGGACTATGTGTGTATGTATGTATATGTGTGTGTGTGTGTGTGTGTGTGTGTGTGTGTGTGTGTGTGTGTGTGTGGTGTGTGTGTGTGTGTGTGTGTATGTATGTATATGTGTGTGTGTGTGTGTGTGTGTGTGTGTGTGTGTGTGTGTGTGTGTGTGTGTGTGTGTGTGTGTGTGTGTGTGTGTGTGTGTGTGTATGCGTGTGTGTATGTGTGTATGTGTGTGTGTGTGTGCATGTGTGTATGTGTGTGTGTGTGTGTGTGTGTGTGTGTGTGTGTGTGTGTGTGCTCCTGGCCCCGCCTCTTCACTGATCGCTACTGGATCCTCTCTCTCTCTGCTTCCTGAGCTTTGTCATACCTCTTCTTAAAACTATGTATGGTTCCTGCCTCCACTACTTCACTTGCTAGGCTATTCCACTTGCTGACAACTCTATGACTGAAGAAATACTTTCTAACGTCCCTGTGACTCGTCTGAGTCTTCAGCTTCCAGTTGTGACCCCTTGTCCCTGTGTCCCCTCTCTGGAACATCCTATCTCTGTCCACCTTGTCTAGTCCCCGCAGTATCTTGTATGTCGTTATCATGTCTCCCCTGACCCTTCTGTCCTCCAGTGTCGTCAGTCCGATTTCCCTTAACCTTTCCTCGTACGACATTCCCTTGAGCTCTGGACTAGCCTTGTTGCAAACCTTTGTACTTTCTCTAACTCTTGACGTGCTTGACCAGGTGTGGGTTCCAGACTGGTGCTGCATACTCCAGTATGGGCCTAACATACACAGTGTACAGTGTCTTGAACGATTCCTTATTAAGGTATCGGAACGCTATTCTCAGGTTTGCCAGGCGCCCGTATGCTGCAGCGGTTATTTGGTTGATGTGTGCCTCCGGTGATGTGCTCGGTGTTATGGTCACCCCAAGGTCTTTCTCCCTGAGTGAGGTCTGTAGTCTTTGTCCACCTAGCCTATACTCTGTCTGCGGTCTTCTTTGCCCCTCCCCAATCTTCATGACTTTGCATTTGGCTGGATTGAATTCGAGAAGCCAGTTACTGGACCACATGTCCAACCTCTCCAGGTCTCTTTGCAGTCCTGCCTCATCCTCGTCCGATTTAATTCTTCTCATCAACTTCACGTCATCTGCGAACAGGGACACTTCAGAGTCTATTCCTTCCATCATGTCGTTCACATATATCAAAAATAGCACTGGTCCTAGAACTGACCCCTGTGTGTATGTGTGTGTGTGTTTATTTGCCTGTGTGTGTTTATGCGTGTGTGCACTTGCATTCACCTAATTCCTGCTGCGGGGGTCGAATCTCGGCTCTGAGGCCCTCGCATTGTTCCTAGTCTTAAAACTGTACATGCAATCCACCTCCACCACTTTCCCATCTAGATTGTTCCACTTCCTTAACCATCCTTGAACTGAAGGAATACTGCGAAAGATATGTGTCTTGTACCTTCCTTTATACCTTCTTGTATCCTGTCCACTCCTGTTTATATTGCCTCTGTCAAATCCTTTGAGTATCTCGTATGTCGTTATCATGTTTCCCCTGGTGCTCTTAGGTTCAAATGTATCTGTTAATCCTCCTGTCTCCGCTCAACACGACTTATATTCTCCTCTATACACACTAAGAGTAGCTACTCTACCCACACTAAGAGCAGGTCCTATATCCACTCTAAGAGCACCTCCCCCACAGATAGTGGTGACGTATGAAGACTCAATGGACACCAGTCGTCACGTGATCACTCTCAACATCAACACTGGAGGCTCGGGGTTCGACCCCACGACCCTCTACGACCCCGCCTCAGGACGACTTGGGTAAGTTGTCTTTTTTTCCGTAAGGGAAAGGATGGGTAAACTTGTATGTTTAGCTAAGGGAGGGATGAATCCAGGCTGATTTTCATTCACGGGAATTTGGACTTCGTTTTTTTTTTTTTTCTTATTCGCCGGTATTCTCCCGGCCCGGGTCTTTTTCCAAGTAGTGGTGACCCGGCCTTGGCTCCCTATCTGAGGAGTATCCCGAGACCTAGGTCTCCCATGGGAGGAGGTACAACTACCCCCTCATCTTTGGGACCAACTGTCCCCAGGCCTAGCCACATCCCCCGCCCTCACGGGGCTCGTAGGGAGAAGCTAGGCCTCTGGTCTGCCATCTACCCCGCCTCAAAGGGGCTCGTGGGGATGGCAGTCTTATGAGCTGCAGGTGGTAGCAACCTCAGTTGGACTTTCGTTTTCTTTAGTTTGGGGTAAGTAGAATTATATTCACTTTTGTTTTGGCTAAGTTGAATTATATTCGCTTTTGTTTTGGCTAAGTTGAATTGTATTCTCTTTTATTTTGGGTAAATCGGAATAATTTTGTGTTCAGCAAGTGATGGTACTTGTAACCAAGCCTTCAGCGTGTCAGCGTGCCTCGTTGTTTTCTCGTGTTTTCACGGTCGCTCTTACGTGCTAGAACTTTAATTTGTGCCATCAATTCTATACGATACATCCCTCTAGCGCCTGGAACCAATCTTGGGCGGAAAACATATACTGAGTCAAAAAAGGAGAATTAGTGTGCACTACCTAGCAGAGTTTATTGCCAGAGGGGAATCATAGGCCTAGTGTGCCGTGTGCAAAATAATAATAATAGAACTTTTCTTTGTCAGAGGAAAGAAAGTCTCCCTGATAACATTGTGTATACACAGTGTATAGTGTATACTACAGTGGCTCCCTAGTATATAGATGATAAAGGCTAAAGTGTCATTTGAAAACAGGTGAATTTGTAAATGATAAGCCTATAGAGGCAGGTGCCAGAAGTCGCCAGAAACTTACCACAGAGGTCAGCTGTTTTAATAATCTTCCTGGCTTGCTAGTGTACTCGCATATAATCTAGTGATACCAGTGAATAGCAGAATACAGTGTTGTGGTAGCAACTAACCAGTATTATAATGGTATTTATTATTATTAAATATTCGCCGGTATTCTCCCGGCCCGGGCCTTTTCCAAGTGGTGGCCCGGCCTTGGCTCCCTCTTTAGGGAGTGTCTGAGACCTAAGTCTCCCATGGGAGGAGGCACAAGTACCTCCTCATCTTCGGGACCAACTGTCCCCAGGCCTAGCCACAAGCTAGGCCTCTCTGGTCTGCCATCCCCACCCCAAGGGGGCTAATGGGAATGACAGTCTTGTGAGCTGTAAGCTCGGGCTCAGGCACCTACCCTACCCTAGAAGAGTTAGGCATGGTGTCGATGTTATAATGGTACTTAGTGGAGTGGAGTGATTTTCATTAGTTTTTTTTTTTCTTGAAATACCAGACGTATAATGTGAATTTCATATAACCTGTAGTTACCAACGGTCACAATATACACAACGAGAAGCAATTATTACTACAAAAAAAGCGTCCTTCCTCCAAAATTTCCACCAGTCAACTATAGTGATAATATAGCATTTATTGTGGTGGAGACGGAAAAAAACTAGAAAAGCTAGATAAAGCGATTGATAAACAAGGGTTGAGGCTCGACCGTTCGTCACTGTAGGAGCTGCCAGCAATCACCGGTGCTTCAACACGCAAGTTATACTTTTGTATCAATCAAATCACATATTACTCGGGTAGATAATTTCCAGTAGATCCTTCATGCGTTAGCCCAAATCACCGACCAGTATGTTTTAAATAAGTGACCCACTGATCAGATCAGACTGGCTCTGAACCCTCGACTGGTCCGAACCCTCGACTGGTCCAAACCCTTGACCGGTTTCAAACGGATTCGTTGGACAATAAAGCAGACTGTAAACGGATGGGGTTGTAGGCGCCCTTATCAAACACAAACAATAAATATAAAACAGGAGCGTACTCTGGTAAGCTGTCCTAATATACAAGTACAGTTAGAAATAGAAATACAAATAGCTAGAGCTTCATTTAAGGAGGTTATTAATATAGTATTCAAGAGGTTGCTAGTAGAATTACAGTAAATCAACCATTCAAATCATTATGAAGCTCTGTGTAGTCTGCAATCAATCAAACAAACGGGCTTCCACATGGATAAATTGTCATTTTTGTGGAAATTGGTGTCAGGCCACTTGTGCAGATATCCAAGAACTAGCTACAAGCTGTATTAAAACAGAGAAGTGTTTTTGGGTATGCCCAAATGAGATAAATCTGTGAACTGAAATCACAAGGGTATTAAAAGAGGATAACATCAAAGCTGCTTTCATAGACAACCTGGAAGCTTTCTGCAACAGATGGGAACATAGAAAGTCTGGGCTGAATGGTACTGCCCTTGATACTGGTCATGTAGTCAGAAACTGTAAGGCTGGAGGTGATGTCCTGGTAGTCAGTAAATGTGGGGCTGATAGTGCTGTCCTGGGAGACAGTAATGGTGAAGCTGGAGGTGCTGTCCTGGGAGACAGTAACGGTGAAGCTGGAGATTTTGTCCAGGTAGTCGGGAATTATACACAGGAAGGAATGCATATAAATGACCTCATAGGGGACGGGAGCCGTAGTGGGGAAACAAGTGTAGTCAAAGATAAGATAAAACCAATGTTTCAAACTAGAAATACCGCAGGAAATAGCAAACAAGAGGACTCCACTAGCAATAGTGAGGATATATTACCAAAAACAACTGGTGGGAGCTCCATTGTTGGTGCTAGGGAGGATAGGAATAAGACAGGTAAACATGCACCAAAAGGGAACACAGTCACAGAAACCCAAGGCAAACGGAAACCAAGCCTGTGCACATACTATGCACTTGGTATCTGCTGGCATGGGAAATCTGGAAAAACAGATGGGACGTGCAACTATGACCACCCTAGAAAATGCCATGCCCATATGACAACAGGAAAATGCAAACTCCCTTCCTGTAAGCTTTTTCACCCTGAAATGTGTACCTCGTCAGTACAGGAAAGACTGTGCTATAACTTAAATTACCAGGCACACCATCTAAAGGGGACAAACAGATACAAAACATCCAGGCCATGGGAAAACCTGGGTAGCCACAGCCACTCAAGAGGGAGAGGCTTTTTAGTGCCAGGAAGGAAAAAAAACTGGCAGGAAATGGCAGAAATCGTACACCAAATCCAGTCATTCCTGGAGTGGAACCACAGTCGATGGCCTCCACTCCAAACCAACAGATACAGATACTAATGCCGGAAACCCCCCTCCCCAGTACCAACAATACCACCAGTCCGATGACATTCTTCTTTGCAAATATACAGGGTCTAAAGCCAGCAACAAGCAACAAAATACCTTTCATCCATGGACTGCTTGCAGAGGCAAAGGCAATGTTCGCGGCTTTCACTGAGACCCACATAAAGGATCACTTGGACAACGAAATATGGATCCCAGGTTACAACCTATACAGATGTGACAGAGTGAACAGGCAAAAGGGGGGTATTGGCCTGTACATTGCAGTCACTTGTTTGCACAGAACTGCTTAATGCCTCAAATGATGTAGTGGAAGTTTTAGCAGTAAAGATCGAGAACCAAAACCTAGTCATTGTGGTAGTCTACAAGCCTCCGGATGCAACATCGCAGCAATTCCAGGAACAGCTGTTAAAAATTGACCACTGTCTGGAAAATCTTCCAGCTCCTGCACCCAACATCTTGCTCCTGGGGGATTTCAACTTAAGGCACCTAAAATGGAGGAATATAGCAAATAATATTGTTGCAGTAATAACACCAGGAGGCAGCTCTGATGAAAACTCACACTCACACGAGCTTTAAATCTCTGCACAAAATTCAATTTAAACCAGCAAATAATAGAGCCTACTAGACTGGAGAATACACTAGACCTCATCTTCACTAACAATGATGATCTGATAAGAAATGTCACCATATCAAAAACAATATACTCAGATCACAACATAATTGAGGTTCAGACATGTATGCGCGGAGCCCCAGACCGACATAATGAGATTAGTCACGAGGGAGCATTCACCAAATTCAACTTCAATAACAAAAACATAAAGTGGGACCAAGTAAGCCAAGTCCTAACCGATATAAGCTGGGAAGATACTAAGCAACACAGACCCCAACTTATGCCTATTACAGATTAACTTGGTGGCACTCGATGTATGCACAAGGCTTATTCCTCTAAGAAAAAGGAGGAGTAGATGTAAAATAGAAAGAGACAGGCGCTCCCTTTACAGGCGACGGAAAAGAATAACAGAGCGGCTAAAAGAGGTCAATATATCTGAAATGCGTAGGGAGACACTGGTCAGAGAAATAGCAAACATCGAACTTAAGCTAAAGGAATCTTATAGGAGTCAGGAATCGCGGGAAGAACTAAAAGCCATAAATGAAATCGAAAGAAACCCAAAGTATTTTTTCTCCTATGCCAAATCAAAGTCGAGAACAACGTCCAGTATTGGGCCCCTACTTAAACAAGATGGGTCCTACACAGATGACAGCAAGGAAATGAGTGAGCTACTCAAGTCCCAATATGACTCAGTTTTTAGCAAGCCGCTAACCAGACTCAGAGTCGAAGATCAAAATGATTTTTTTATGAGAGAGCCACAGAATTTGGTTAACACAAGCCTATCTGATGTTATCCTGACGCCAAATGACTTCGAACAGGCGATAAATGACATGCCCATGCACTCTGCCCCAGGACCAGACTCATGGAACTCCGTGTTCATCAAGAACTTCAAGAAGCCCCTATCACAAGCCTTTACCATCATATGGAGAGGGAGCATGGACACGAGGGTCGTCCCACAGTTACTAAAAACAACAGACATACCCCACTCCACAAAGGGGGCAGTAAAGCAACAGCAAAGAACTACAGACCGATAGCACTAACATCCCATATCATAAAAATCTTTGAAAGGGTCCTAAGAAGCAAGATCACCACCCATCTAGAAACCCATCAGTTACACAACCCAGGGCAACATGGGTTTAGAACAGGTCGTTCCTGTCTGTCTCAACTATTGGATCACTACGACAAGGTCCTAGATGCACTAGAAGACAAAAATAATGCACATGTAATATATACAGACTTTGCAAAAGCCTTCGACAAGTGTGACCATGGCGTAATAGCGCACAAAATGCGTGCTAAAGGAATAACAGGAAAAGTCGGTCGATGGATCTATAATTTCCTCACTAACAGAACACAGAGAGTAGTAGTCAACAGAGTAAAGTCCGAGGCAGCTACGGTGAAAAGCTCTGTTCCACAAGGCACAGTACTCGCTCCCATCTTGTTCCTCATCCTCATATCTGACATAGACAAGGATGTCAGCCACAGCACCGTGTCTTCCTTTGCAGATGACACCCGAATCTGCATGACAGTGTCTTCCATTGCAGACACTGCAAGACTCCAGGCGGACATCAACGAAATCTTTCAGTGGGCTGTAGAAAACAATATGAAGTTCAACGATGAGAAATTTCAATTACTCAGATATGATAAACACGAGGAAATTAAATCTTCATCAGAGTACAAAACAAATTCTGGCCACAAAATAGAGTGAAGCACCAACGTCAAGGACCTGGGTGTGATCATGTCGGAGGATCTCACCTTCAAGGACCATAACATTGTATCAATCGCATCTGCTAGAAAAATGACAGGATGGATAATGAGAACCTTCAAAACTAGGGATGCCAAGCCCATGATGACACTCTTCAGGTCACTTGTTCTATCTAGGCTGGAATATTGCTGCACACTAACAGCACCTTTCAAGGCAGGTGAAATTGCTGACCTAGAAAATGTACAGAGAACCTTCACGGCGTGCATAACGGAGATAAAACACCTCAATTACTGGGAGCGCTTGAGGTTCCTGAACCTGTATTCCCTGGAACGCAGGCGGGAGAGATACATGATTATATACACCTGGAAAATCCTAGAGGGACTAGTACCGAACTTGCACACGAAAATCACTCACTACGAAAGCAAAAGATTTGGCAGACGATGCAACATCCCCCCAATGAAAACCAGGGGTGTCACTAGCACGTTAAGAGACCATGCAATAAGTGTCAGGGGCCCGAGACTGTTCAACTGCCTCCCAGCATACATAAGGGGGATTACCAACAGACCCCTGGCAGTCTTCAAGCTGGCACTGGACAAGCACCTAAACTCGGTTCCTGACCAGCCGGGCTGTGGCTCGTACGTTGGTTTGCGTGCAGCCAGCAGTAACAGCCTGGTTGATCAGGCTCTGATCCACCAGGAGGCCTGGTCACAGACCGGGCCGCGGGGGCGTTGACCCCCGGAACTCTCTCCAGGTAAACTCCAGATGGTGATTGTAGGCAGGACTGAGATGGTGTTAGGTTAGTTTTGGAAGGATTTAGGTCAGTTAGAGAAGGTGGTATATCAGCTTGGAAAGGTGTTAGATCACTAAGAAAGTCTTGGGTAACTTAAGATGATCCGCGTAAGCCGGAAAGATCTTGGATAAGTCAGTAGTGTCAGTCTGCCAACTCAGACTGATACTACTGAAGTCTCCCAGCTCAGACTGACACTACTAAAGTCTCCCATCTCAGACTGACAATACTAAAAGTCTCCCAGCTCAAAATGACACTACTAAAGTCTCCCAGCTCAGGCTGACACTACTAAAGTCTCCCATCTCAGACTGACACTCCTGAAGTCTCCTATCTCAGACACACTACTGAAGTCTCCCAGCTCAGACTGACACTACTGAAGTTTTCTGTCACGTAGTATATCGCAGCAGCGGGTGTTACCACCATGTAGTTATCAGTATAGTGTAGCAGCACACTGCGGGTATAATAACATATGCTACAAGTGTACTTGACCAACAGGATTGTCTTCCGGCTGGGAGGACTGTACCGCAGGCGCCGCTACTCCCTACAGGTCGTGGCCTTCCAGGGTTCCATCCGCGCTGCTCACTCCAGACTCGCGTTCCTCACCGGAGAAGACGATGGAGGTCAGTATGGCACTCTGTGGCACGTCTGCAAATATTTCCAGGGCTCCTTTTTGGGAGCCCTGGAAAATATTTTTGCTTGGTAACACTGTTTAGGCACTAAAATGATTTTTGCGTGTATTAAAGCTGTTTTGGCAATATATAATATAAATGTTTGTATAAATGCTTGTGTGTGGCACAGATATTCTGTCACTGTTATATAAAGTCTTTTGTGTTGTGGAAATGTTTTGGCACTGTGAATGTTTTCAGCCTGGCAACACAATCGTGCACGATTTTTTCTGTGGTAACATTGTTTTTCATTACATAAATGTGTTTTGCTTGGTTTGGAGTCCAGTCCCTGGACCCATTATGTACCTCTGTAATCTTATGACTACCGCCCACAGGATGGGTATGGGGTGCATAATGAACATATTAAACTAACTTGGTAACACTGGTAATCTGTAACCGTTTCGAGGTAACACTGCTTTGGCTTCATATATATTTTTTTAATTGTGCGGTAACACTGTTTTGGCGCAATGTTTTTTCACCCTTTTGTGTCATGGTATCAAGTTTTGCCAGTATATAAACTGTTTATATGGTAATAATATTTAATGAATATCCGAGGAGGTGGAAGATGTTGTGGATGAAAACACACATAAACGAGCGTGACCTTCATTATAACAACGTTGCGCTCAAGAGGGAGCCTTGGAGGCTTTATTAAGCTTAATACAGCTTTAACAGGCTTCCCTCGAGTGAAACATTGCTATGATAAAGACGGCTTACGCTGTTTTATTTTCCCAACCACATATTTATACAACCGGCAGATCATACCCGCTGGACAGACCACCAGAGCCACATTATTCTCCCCTCAGAAATGCTCAGCATAACAAGGGGCTTGCTATATAGTATTATATTATTGATGTCAGCTAGGCCTGTATACCTTGTACATGTAGAAATAAAGATATTACTAATAATGAAATGTAAGCGTTAAATCCGCATGGGTCATACCACACAGGATGCTCTCGTCTATTTACTCTAGTAAAAACTTGCATCTGCTGCAGTTGACTATGAGTGTACATGCACTCTACATCTTTCAAAGGTTAATCATAAAAGTGGTTTTTAATATGAGAATCAGTTTCAGTCTATCCATGGATAATTTAGGATTGGCTAATTACAGCAGAAAACGTTCCCATCAACGAATTTGCTTGGACCTCCTCCTCTTTCCTGCAACATTTCAAGCTCCTGATGATGTGTTGATTGCAACACGAAAGGCCTAGAGCTATCATTCACCTGCCACCTTAGTTGTTTTGAGTAGAAACACGTGTTATACACAATGAATGGTAACTTTCTTTTTTTCAAGTACTTCTCTTAGACATCCAGATATTAGTTACGAAATTACCTTAGATTTAATTTATTTTTTCTTGTAGTAAAAATTTATTCAGGTATACACAAATACAGTTACATTGATTATCATACATCATACATAACAGCATATGTGTAGAGAACCTAAGATAATCCAAAAAGTTAGAGTGACTTATTTCCACTTATTTCCTTGTACAATATATCTTTTCTGCATGAATAGTGCCTTTGATTTTATTTAGAATAATAGACATGTGAGTTGTGTGCATGATGTTTTCGACTGTAATGGATAGTGAAAATTGTGTTGAGTTTCATCTGTAGAATAAGATATATTGTGGTTAATTGTAGAGTAGCAGGTGTGGTGCAGAATGAGTTTAGAGTTTGTTATTATAATCAAGGGGAAGCGCTAAACCCGTAGGATTATACAGCAGGATGAGTTAGAGCCTAGGAATTTGAGTGAAGTTACCGAGTAATTTTATTGCAAAGTTTAACCTGTGAACTTTTGAGTCTATGACACCGCTACGTTCATCCCACTGACACAGCTAACAAGATAAACGACTTCTTCTCAACCATAGGATCTAATCTCGCCAATAAAATCCCACATGCCAATGCCCATGCCGGGGACTACCTAGATGGGAATTTCCCAAATTCCTTCTATCTTGCACCGAGCCCACGGAAATCACCGAGATTATAAAGTCACTTAAAAATAACTCAGGGAATCTGTCTCATGTCCCACCAATACTGTACAAGCGAGCGGCCCATGTCCTTTCGCATGCTATTTCATTACTTTTTAACAAGTCACTAGAGACTAGCACCTTCCCGAAACTACTCAAGATGGCAAGGGTTACACCAATACATAAAGGTGGTGACCCTACAGACTTAAACAACTATAGGCCAATATCAAACTTACCATTGCTATCCAAAATCTTTGAGAAACTCGTGCACAGGAGACTATATTCATTTATAACGGCACAAAACATACTCAACCCCTGCCAATTTGGATTCAGGAAAAATAAAAGCACTAATGATGCAATCATAAAAATGCTAGATCTGCTTTACACAGCATTGGAAAATAAGGAATATCCACTAGGAATTTTTATTGACCTAAGAAAAGCTTTTGACACAGTAGACCACGACATCCTACTCCACAAACTTGACCATTACGGTATAAGAGGCCATGCGCTTGCTTATTTCAAATCTTACCTTATTAATAGGTATCAGTATGTCACCATTAAAGACACAGCATCAACAACACGGCCACTTGATACTGGAGTTCCGCAGGGAAGTGTCCTTGGTCCCCTGCTCTTCCTCATATACATCAATTTTCTTCCAAACGTATCTCAACACCTGAAACCCATTCTCTTTGCTGACGACACGACTTATGTCATCTCTCACCCTAATCTTGCCACCCTCAACACCATTGTGAATGAGGAGCTGATCAAAATATCGACTTGGATGACAGCCAATAAACTTACACTTAACACTGACAAAACCTACTATATTATGTTTGGTAGCAGAGCAGGAGATGCACAAATTAACATTAAGATCGACAACACTCTAATTACCAGACATAATGAGGGCAAATTCCTAGGCCTATACCTTGACAACAACCTGAATTTCAACACCCATATCCAACACATAACCAAAAAAGTATCCAAAACGGTTGGGATCCTCTCCGAGATACGATACTACGTGCCGCAAAATGCCCTTCTCACACTATACCACTCGCTTATTTATCCATACCTCACCTATGCTATTTGTGCTTGGGGATCAACTGCAGCAACACACCTAAAGCCAATAATAACCCAACAAACAGCTGCAGTAAGAATAATCACTAAATCCCATCCCTGGCAACACACCCCCCCACTCTTCATAGATCTAAACTTACTCCCTGTTCAGTACATCCACACTTACTACTGTGCAATCTACATCTACATGACCTTAAACTCCAATATCAACCTTGACCTAAAACGCTTTCTTGATAGTTGTGACAGAACCCACAGGCATAACACCAGACACAAACTACGACATTCCCCGTGTCCGACTAAACCTTTACAAAAATTCAATGTATGTCAAAGGCCCTAAAATCTGGAACACCCTACCTGAGAACTCTAGAACTGCAGACACATTCATCACCTTCAAAACTACCATTAGAAAACATCTTAGAACTCTAGAACTGCAGACACATTCATCACCTTCAAAACTACCATTAGAAAACATCTTATCTCCCTGATACACCCCGTCAACTAACTACACGAATACCACCTGGTGGTTCACACTTACACTCACTCACCCATTTGACCATAAACAGAAATATTAATCTCAATCTTAAAATAATGAATCCTGTGATACTCCAATACTGAAACTATGTACTGTGCCAAAACAAAAGCATTCACACTGCTAAACTCACAAACTAGTATTTAGTCACTTAGCCATAATACCAACTTACCTCATAATTTGTAATATTTTAAAATTAAGAATTAAACTAAGTCTGCCCGAAATGCCTAGCTATGCTAGGTGTTCTAGTGGTACACTCTGTAATCATTATTTTACTACATGTAAACCACACAATAACCAAATTCTGTAAACTCAGCATTGTAATCCTTATAGAGAATAAACTTTGAATTGAATTGAATTACCCAACATGTAATAACTCAAATTATTATTATTATTATTACAATCAAGGGGGAAGCGCTAAACCCGGAGGATTATACAGCGCCTGGGGGGGGGATGTGGAAGGCATTCAGGCTTAATTTGGGGAACTGGAGCACAGATCCAATTCCCTAAATCAAGAGCCCCTCACCAACATCAAGGAACCTTCCTTGAGGGGTAATAACTCAAAGAGCAAACAGTATAAGAAACCACGGCAAATCAAACCACAGTACGGGTGGGGATGAACTCTCAGCAAGTGATTCATAAAACTCCAGGCCAGCGAGTAAACCACTGGGCCAGCTGGCTACAATAAGATTCATCCAACTGGGTATACTTATACACCATGGGGAGGATAGCATGGGCCACCACTTGGCCACAAACGCAAGTTTTTACAAATGAATCTCCCTCCAGCGTGGCCGTGACTAACTAGCCAGCTGGCCCAGTGGCTTACACGCTGATGATGCCAAACGACTCACTTGCAGAGACCTCAATCCCCACCCTTACCCTGGTCTGTTTACAGTCGTGTCATTACAGTTTTGTGAGTCATGACAAATCATTTCTGAAGCTAGCACGCCATTGTTCACACCATTCAACTGAGCAGGCTAATAAGATTCACCCAGCCATGTATACCTCTGTATACTAGAGCCAATAACATAGGCTTCATAGTAACGACGAACTCAGTTTTAATTGAGGAATCTAACACCTTGGCGGCAGCGATCAAATTTAGTTCCGGTCCCTTCAAAGAAAATCGCACCCATGACAAACCAGTCCAAAAACTGCTAGTTTAAGAATTTCCTTACCATGGGTTTGAACACTATACGCTCAGTGAGTAGTTGACAACCATGTTATTACAGTTTTATCGACTCGTTAAAAATATGTAATAACTTGATCCTTATACTGGCCCATAATGCCTAGGCATAATAGAGGCTGTCTTTGTATTGCAACCCACTATTGTAAATACAAAATCTCAATGTACTGTTTGCAAAGACATAAAATAAATAAAAAAATAAATAAATATTATTTCAATTTTGTTCTGTTTCCTCGTGCTGAAAGTATTTACTCACGGTGTTAAATATATTTACTCAGTTATCTGATCGCTGAACAAGTTACAGAGGTAATGAACTCCGGGTAGCCTAGTCCCTGGACCTATTATGTACCTCTGTAATCTTTTGACTACCGCCCACAGGATGGGTGCGGGTGCATAATAAAGACATTAAACTCAGTTATCCGTATAGCTGCTGTCAAAATTTGAATATGTACTGTTGTAAGTTCGTTAGTTCAAGTTGTTGCAGAATGTCTTGTGCATTAAGATGTTTGTGTATAACGCATCATAGTACAATACTCAAACCTACAGACAAGACAAAATTAACAAACAGTATGTATACCTGGAGAGGGTTACGGGTGTCAACGTCCCCACGGCCCGGTCTGTGACAGGTAAGACAGATTTTTTAAGGTTTCTTACTTGTATGCAGTAGCAATTATGGTTTTCAAGCTAACATGTAGGAATAAATGAACACTGTCAACCATAACTGCAGAGTAAAAAATTTCAGATAAACATGCAGAACATAATTAACATTCTCAGGCGCACATGCATAACAAAGTTAAGACTATCAGAACTGTATAATACACCAGCGGAATATTACCATTTTGGGGTATTGCATTCAGGTTTCAATGACCGTAGTGTCACATCTGATTTTCTTTGCACTGTTTCAGAGGACAAGCTGTACAACCTGACGGGAATCATCCTAGTGCTGGGGATTTCGACGATCATCATGGTGGTGGTGATGGTGTGTGTGGGTTACGAGAAGCTCATACACCAGAAGAAGGAGGAATGCTGCAGCTTCATCTGCTGCAGAAAGCGTAAGAAGAGACCACCGAAGTCGTCCATATCACCAGAGCCACTCGTAGTCCGTGACGGTAGAGGAGCTGGGGAGAGCCCCTCTACATCCTCACAGAGATACTGAGGGTCGCTGCGAGTACAGCTCCTCAGTCACTCTCAGACGGGTTGTATTATGGGTTTCTCTTCAAAACGTATTGAGAATAAGTGCCTATTATTAGATTCGAATAATTTTGTACAACTCTGTGGATGAACGAAGAATGCTTGGTGCCTCTCTCTAGCTTTTACCACTATTGTATTAAATTCTTTTATATTATATGGCATACACACACACATATATATATATATATATATATATATAATATATATATATATATATATATATATATATATATATATATAATACATTTTTATATAATATATATATATATATATATATATATATATTATATATATATATAATATATATATTATTATATTATATTCATGTGGAAAGACTAAGCCCGTAGGGGTAAGGCAGTTTGATTCAGAGAAGGAAAGGATAGCTCCAGCGTCTTGGATCAAGGGCTCTTCACCAACATCACACATTATATATAGCTCTTAAAATATGTCAGATCTTCACACTTGTTTTGCACTATTTCCTTTCCTGGATTTTATTTTCAACTCTCGTACATCTTCACAGAGGCACTGAGTATAACTGTCTTAGTAACTCTGTCAAATAATTTATGTCAATTTTACAAGATGGAAAAAAGTATATACCATCAGGACCTGATGAATGGTATTGTTGAGGCGAGTTTAGTTAAGGACCTCACCTGGAAAACTGTGTTGTGAGTGCGACGATGATAATAATAGTGATGACGAGGATAATAGTGATAATGAGGATGATAGTGATGATGCCAAACAAAAGCGCCCATTGAAAATGATATTCAATTTGTGATGTTAAAAAGACAGTGCAAAATGAACTGTGAGCATTAAAATATGGAATGAAAAATATTCCAGTGTGACCTTCCCTCTCAGTCTCCTCATCATCTCTCACCTCATCATTCTCCTTATCACCATGTTCCCTCCTCTTTCCTCACTCAAAACCCAAGCTTAGAGAAGGTTTTGATGGTATGTCAACTGACTTTAACATACCTGTCCACATCTCAGCTGCCATGAAATTGCTCTCTCATATCTTATTAACATGATTATTATGTTCACATTAAGGCACAAAAACTGTATAGCGCCTGGGGAATGGGAGGTAATAAAGATTTGATCGAAGGAAAGGGAGCGTAGCTCGAGTTCCTTGGATCAGTAGAGATTCGCCAGTATGAAGGACTTCCCCCCCCCATCTTCCTTCTTGAAGGATCTGAATCATGCAAACTTAATAATCATTTCAACAAAGTCATATTACAATGTCATTTTAACAAGAACCTGATACAGTTTTCTTATACCGTTGCATTTATATATTTTGGCTGAAGGATTGGCCAATCTGAGTGTTGATAATAAATGCTCCAATCATCTTATTGTTGCACATTCCAGTAATGGTATATACTCTACCAACAACATAAGGAATTACACACATGTACAGCGTCTGGTTATCTTGAACGATATCCAGATGTTGCACATGTGTCTTAATTCTTTATTGCTGCACAACATGGAACTGGAATGGTATGTAAATACTAGCAAGGTGAAACAAATGACACTTAGACACAGTGAATTTATTACTGAGTTGCCAACTTAGTGCTTTGCGCACGTTGTCCTTAATAACGATATTCATTGCAACTAAGTATCATTTGCTTCATGTTGCACAACATGCACAACTCTTGCATAATGGCCTATTATCTTAGAATGTAAATGACTACGTATTTTACTGTAAACAAATGTTGGACAAGGTGATGAATCTTGCGAACTAATTACATTTCCAAATTGGGTGTAATGCCTCTGATTATTATTATTATTATTATTATTATTATTATTATTATTATTATTATTATTATTATTATTATTATTATTATTTAATATTCATGAGGAAACACTAAGCCCGTATGGGTCATACGGCGCCTGGGGAATGGAAGTTATTTGACTTTAATCCGAGGGAGGTGAGGATAACTCAAGTTCCCTGATTCTGCTTCGTCTGCTACAGGTGCTGAGATGATCCACGGAAAAAATGTCCTCCTCCCTTCAACCTTCAAAATAATTATTGTCACCAAAACATGTTTACGATGTTAATTTTGTGCTATCTGAAATCAATACAGTGACCTTCAGTGTAAACAGTGAGATTTACATTAAAGTAGTACAAAGTATACCCTAACAGGGTATAATAATAAAGTATCTAGAGTATACTTTTACTTTAAAGACGCAGGTTGCAGATTACATTGGGACAATGTTTTTCTCTGTGCAGAGCTGTATCAAGTCATTCTCAGGTCATTCTAAGTCGTTCTACGCAGAGTGAAACGTTGTTGCAATAAATGCTTGTCCTGTATCCTATATGTCTACAGAATGTTTGGATGCATCTTGTATTGTTCCAAGAATTAATCTCATTTTAAATCTTTTTGGACCGAGGATAATATGATATGACTTCAGCATGCCACACAGACGATGAGAAGAAAGCATAACAGGATAGTGTTAAGATGGGATAAACGAAACAGAAAAATGAGAGGGACTGGGAAAGAAACGGCTTAAACCTATGAGTTGTTTACAACAAATGGATTCCACAAGGATCATCTCATGAGGGATCCTATTGAAATAGGCTTGTAAGGGATCCCATTGAAATAGTCTTGTAAGGGATCCTTTAAGTGTAACATCTTATAAGAGTTCCTGGGGAACGTCTTATGAGAGCATCATTAAGGGGTGGTCTTAAAGAGAGTTCCAACAAGGATTACCATAGGATGGTCATAAACGGAGAGTTTCCGGAGTCTGGATGATCAGATTACCAAACATGGAGTAAATTTGAGTTTCCTACGTATATTTCTTTATATATTATATATATATATATATATAATATATATATATATATATATATATATATATATATATATATATATACATATTTTGTAGCTCATAGCGCCAGACGTAGCATGTTTTACGAGGTCGTCTGATGCAAACTTTTCACGATATATTGAATACATCATTGTTACAATTTTGTATTCGTTTCTGAATTGAAAATATTAAGTAAATGGGAAATTATGTCTTTAAAAATATATAAAATATACACAATAATAATAATAATAATAATAATAATAATCGTGTTTTTTAATCCTAAGTCAATTTGAATGGTGTTCAATATTAGTTGGGCAGCGCTAAACCCCTAAGGGTTGTACGGTGCCTGGGAACTAAAAATTAATCAAGTTTGATCCAAGGAAGGGGAGGGAAGCTCGTTTCCTTGATTGAATGAGTGGTAGCACACTCAACTCACACACTGCATGTCCATGTTCATCTAGCAGTAAGTAGGTACCTGGGTGTTAGTCGAATGTTGCACTCACGTATTTTTGGTTGCAGGGGTCGATTCATAGCTCCTGGCCCCTTAACCAGGGGGTGGTAATATACCTAAGATAAGGCTGGACTTCATAATGAGCTAAAGTACAATAATAGAACCTGGAATATTGGTTTGTGTAAAAAAAAAAAAAATGTTAATTTTTATGTTTATTACATTTTCATTTTTTTTTTCATGGGGAAATGCTAAACACGTAGGGTTCATACAGTGCTTAAAGCAGTGGGAAACAATCATATTTGATCCAAGGAAGGCTGGAAGAGTCTCAGTAGTAGTAACCAGTTACCAGTAACCAGTGTACCAGTAGATGACTCACTACCAACCGTCTCTGCCTGAGTCACTGGCTGTATTCATATTGTTGCTGACCTAGCAGGATTTCAAGCGCCCCCTCGCCCATGGGCACTCCTCAGTCAGTCTAGCCAAGGGGCAGAGAGAGGCAGGTTCGGCTGTGGCGCCCTTCCACATACTTCAGTTACAATATACGTACTTCCAGCCTACGTGAGTATTTTTACCCAATCCACGTGTTCAAACTCCCACATGATAAATGGTAGCAGCGGTGGGATTGAACTCTTGGATAGTTAAGGTCCATCTGGCTAACCTTCCAGTAGGTTGTTTGTTCTGGAATAAAGGTATCAGTGGAGCATGGTCTGTCAGGACATGAACAGAGTACTGATAAATAATGTCTCAGAAGTGCTTTAAAGACCATACTATTGCTAAAGCTTCTTGCTCAGTTACTGTATAATTACGTTCAGCCTTTGTGAGTATTTTTACCCAATCCACATGTTCGAACTCCCACATGATAAATGGTGGCAGCGGTCATAGAGTCTCAAAACTCCAGCCCGTCGCGTTAGCCACTAGACCAGCTAGCCACAATAAGATTCATCCAACTAGGTATATTTCTACACCATAGGAAGGTTAGCACAGGCACCTCTGTGACCACAAATGCAAGTTTTTACAGACGAATCTCCAGCTAGCGTGGCCGTGACGAACTCTAGCTCAAGTCCCTTCACTGCCGTCAACATGACTTAAGAAATCGTAATGACACGATTGCCACGCTAGCTGGAGATTCGTCTGTAAAAACTTGCATTTGTGGTCACAGAGGTGCCTGTGCTAACCTTCCTATGGTGTAGAAATATACCTAGTTGGATGAATCTTATTGTGGCTAGCTGGTCTAGTGGCTAACGCGACGGGCTGGAGTTTTGAGACTCTATGACCGCGGGTTCAATCCCGGCCGGGGGTATGGTTTGTTTGCAATCGTGTCATTACGATTTCTTAAGTCATGTTGACGGCAGTGAAGGGACTTGAGCTAGAGTTCGTCACGGCCACGCTAGCTGGAGATTCGTCTAAAACTTGCATTCGTGGTCACAGAGGTGCCTGTGCTAACCTTCCTATGTGTAGAAATATACCTAGTTGGATGAATCTTATTGTGGCTAGCTGGTCTAGTGGCTAACGCGACGGGCTGGAGTTTTGAGACTCTATGACCGCGGGTTCAATCCCGGCCGGGGGTATGGTTTGGTACGCAAGTTATACTTTTGTATCAATCAAATCACATATTACTCGGGTAGATAATTTCAAGTAGATCCTTCATGTGTTAACCCAAATCACCGACTAGTATGTTTTAAATAAGTGACCCACTGATCAGATCAGATCGACTGGTCCGAACCCTTGACTGGTTTCAAACGGATTCGTTGGACAATAAAGCAGACTGTAAACGGACGGGGTTGTAGGCGCCCTTATCAAACACAAACAAATATAAATCAGGAACGTACACGGTAAGCTGTCCAATTAGTTAGAAATAGAAATACAAATAGCTAGAGCTTCATTTAAGGAGGTTATTAAT